TGCAGCCCATCAATAAAATCTTTCGTTATATGATTCTAAACCCCAGCCCACAAAATCGTCTACCAGTCTTTTTTTTCTCTTTTATTGCAAAAATCAAATTATTTTTAGTTTCACAAAAATCAAATTATTTTTCTTGTAATTTATTTTATAGATTTTTGTTTTTCTGTTAAATTACGAAATGAATTTTACTGGTATATATATTACTGGTAATTTTCCTTTTCTCGCCGGATCCGCTTCTAGGAGTTGCTAGTCGGTTGACTCTAATAATAAAGTTCTATGTCGTGACAAAAAAAAAAAAACTTACCAATTTTTTATTGGTAAGTTTGTTTCTTTCTCTCAAACCATTTGGAACTTAGCTAGGTAAGTTTGTTTAGAAGAAATGTCTTTTGGAACTTTGTTTCTTTCTCTTAAACCATTTCTTTCCTCAATATGATTGTCTTTTGACGTAAGAATTTTATGAAGTATGGTGGATCGTTACAAGAAAAAAAAAAACTTACCAATAAAATAGGTGTTGATTATCTTTACTGATTAGGGCATTTTACGATCTACTTTTCATAATTTTTTTACTTCATAACAAAAGTGACACGTCAAAAGATAAATTGCATTAAAAAACGCGAATAGTTATATCTTTTAAATATAGAATATATAGGAGGAACAAATTGTAATAATCTCGAGGAATAAGAATATCATCCACGAATCTATCTATTCAATCTTTCACACACCACGAATCTTCTCCCGCCTTTTTATCTTTTCAATCTTTGTTTTATTCGCTAATGTCAAGATTCTATCTACTTAAAGGTTTTTTTACACGATTTCGTATATTTTAGATATAATTTTTCAAAGGTCTTCATTGAAAATTAAGGCTACGGATTTTATACGAAGTTTGTGTATATACATACGTACTTATCTACAATCATACGTGGAGAACAAGCTTGTCAATTATACGATTAGACGTATTAAATATACTATATATACTGTTTTTTTTTTGTTCTTATGAAAAATTCAAGCGCAAGAGATTTGTGTTGTTTTTATTAGGGTTCACATGGAAACATCAAAACCCGTTGATATATATGGGAAATTTGATTTTAGCGAAAAAGAAACTGAAAGAAAATATATAGATGACTATAATTGTATTTTTTTTTCTTGGTCAACATTAGAAGACTATAAATTTTGTTTACTTTTTTTTATACAGAAACGTTGTAGGTTTTTGGCCAATACAATTCTACGAATATTAATTTCATTAGCATTAAATGTCTCTTCTAGTGGTATTTATATAAAATTCGTCGCTATTGCATATTTTTTGTTTGTTGTATACAAGTTGGTAAGACCTTAACAATTCACATCGTCCAATCAAATGAATTTCCCGGCCTTAAGACCTAAATTTACACTTCCTAAATCTTTTAAATAGTTTTAATAGTCAACCTTACGTTCACTCTGGCTTTGCTTTCGTCTCACCATCCTTGGTTCCTAAATTTATGGTTACTTTTCTATTTGGTGATCTACTCAACTACACCACAACGTTTATTTTTTAGTCTAAATTTTTATGAAAATCTACTGTTTTCGATACAAAGTTGAAGTCACAATATACCAAAGAGATAGGTCTACACATGTGTAATGTGTTGAGTCGATTTTCAACTTGGGTTTCTGGTCAAAATTTTCCTCCTTTACGCCACTCGTCGTCTAAATAAAACTAACATTATCGTCATGGGGACAAATTTATTAAAAGAATTCACAATTAGACAGCGATTGCCATTTTCCAATTTTTTTTTTCCAACAAATGTCATTATTCTGATGTCTTTTCAAAATTGTCACAAATTGAATTGACACCAAATTAAAAAAATAGTTTTACTCTTGGTGTATAACATTGGTGTATGT